CCTCAGATATGCAGATGACACCACCATTATGGCAGAAAGCGAAGAGGAATTAAAGAGCCTCTTGAAAGTGAAAGAGGAGAGTGAAAAAGCTGGCTTAAAACCTAGCATTCAAGAAACTAAGATCGTGCTCTCCAGTCCCACCACTTCATGGCACATAGGTGGGGAAACAATGGAAACAGTGAAAAGACTCTTGGGCTCCAAAATCTCTGTGGGCAGTGACTGCAGTGATGAAATTAAGATGCTTGCTCCTTGGAAAGAAACCTAGACAGTGTATTAAAAAGCAGAGACGTTACTTTGCCTACAAAGATCCATATAATCAAAGCTATGGTTTTTCCAGTAGTCATGTATGGATGTGAGAGTTGGACTATAAAGCTGAGCACCAAAGAATTGCTGCTTTTGAACTGTGGTGTTGGAGAAGACTCCTGAGAGCCTGTTGGACTTCAAGGAGACCCAATCAGTCCATCCTAAAGGAAATCAGTCCTGAATATTCATTGGAAGGACTGATGCTGAAGCTGAAGCTCCAATACTTTGGCCATCTGATGTGAAGAGCTGACACATTGGAAAAGACCCTGATGCTGGGAAAGATTGAAGGCGGGAGGAGAAGGGAACGACAGAGGACAAGATGGTTGGATGGTATCACTGACTCGATGGGCATGAGTTTGAGTAAGCTCTGAGAGTTGATGATGGACAGGGAAGCCTGGTGTGCTGCAGTCCATGGTTCACAAAGACTCGGACATGATTGAACTGATTTCAATCAGATTTCCTCTCTCCTTCTTCTCCCCTTCCTCCATCTTCTTCGTCTTTTTTTCATTTTATCACTCAACAAACATTTACTGAGCATCCTCTTTTTGTTGAGAACTTGGCTTCCAGGTGGGTGGACAATGGATTGTTTCAACTTTAATAACCCTGCACCCATAGTCACTTGCATTTAGAAAGGTAAATATCAGCTGTTTATCTTGTGATTACCAAGGCATGGGGTAAATCATGGAAACTAGACCTAAGAGGATATTGTGAACCAACTGCTTCATGAATGAACACAGGCCAAAATTTCATGCAAGTCTTCATTACTTTTGTTTTGCTTTGTGACTCAGATTCATCTATAAATTGTTTGTCCTTATAGGGTGAGGATGGGACTCAGATAGTTCAAAAGGAGATAATTTAAATGAGCCTTTTACAATGTGATTATCTTGATAACTCATGAGTAATATATATGGTTCCTCTGCAAGGCTCTGGGTCAGTCACAGGGGATTCACAGATATGGGGCCTGACCAGAGGGAGTGCATGTATTTGTTGCTAGCATACATACAAACTAACTCTTGCATGGTGGCTCAGACAGTAAAGAATCTGCCTGAAACATGGGAGACTTAGGTTCGATCCCTGGGTTGAAAAGATCCCCTAGAGAAGGGCATGGCAATCTACTTTGGTGTTCTTGCCTGGAGAATTCCATGGACAAAGGAGCCTGGTGGGCTACACAGAGCCTGGCGGGATTGCACAGAGTCAGACATGACTGAATGACTAACATTTAGGGGTTTCCCAGGTGGCGCTAGCCATAAAGAACCTGCCTGCCAATGCAGGAGACATAAGAGACATGGATTTGATCCCAGGGTCAGGAAGATCCCTTGGAGGAGGGCGTGGCAACCCACTCCAGTATTCTCGCCTGGAGAATTCCCATGGACAGAGGAACCTGGTGGGCTATAGTCCATTGGGTTGCACAGAGTTGGACACAACTGAAGCGACTTAGCATGCACACATATATACACATTAATAATTACTGACTGACCTCAATATGAGGCACTTTCCTAGATATTTTATTTCATTTAATCTTCACAACAGTTTGAAAACTGAGTTGACTAATCCACTTTACAAATAAGGAAACTAAAGGTCTGTGAAGATTAAGTAGCTTGTCAAAAGCTAAGTGAAAACCAGGCATGCGTCTGGACTGGGTAGCCATTCCCTTCTCCAGGGGATCTTTCTTATCCAGGGACCAAACCCAGGTCTCCTGATTTGCAGGCAGATTCTTTACCACCAAGGAAGCCCTCACTTTTCAAAGGTCAGTGAAGTAAAGTAAATGTCAAAGGCTGAATGGAAACAAGTCATTAGGGCTGAGATTTGAAACTAGGCCTCTCTGATTCTCTCTGGTTCCAGCTAGATCTCACTTGCCTGCACATTAGAATTGCCTGAGAAGCTTAAGGAATATATTTGCACATCAATGATAGATTGCAGATATTCTAATTTCATTGGTTTGGGATGAGGTCTGAGCAGTGAGGGTTTATGAAGCTCCCTGGTGATTCCACAAGAAGCCAAGGCTGAGGCCCACGGCAACTCAAGTGTGCTCAAGCATAACTCTTGGGAAGGAGATACAAAATTTGAGGAGAAAAAGCATCAAACTAGGATGGAAAGCTGAAATGAAAATCTATCATTGTGAACCTGCAGAAAGTTAAGGTATGAGTTTAACAGGAACATTTCTATTGAATGGGTAATTCTCCCCAGCAGTAACTTTAATCAAAATATACAAAGAATCTGTTTGTATTTCTTCAGGTAAATTGTCTGGAACAGAGATCAATCACATAATTAAAATTTTTTTTTTTCTATTTCTTCTTATTTGTTTCAGGAGAAATAAAAACTTACAGATGGAATGTCCCTAAAAGGTCCGGTCCAGGGCCATCTGACCCAAATTGTATTCCATGGGTTTACTATTCAACAGTAAACTTTGTGAAGGTAAGGTGGAGAGAGCTGCCAAAATGCTCAAAGTGATATGGTTTTCAGTTGACCATTCAAGTTGTCACAATTACGGAGGGTATATATGAAGAGGTGTATTGGTTTCAAGCAGGGGTCTCAAACTGTGGCCATGCCCATTTCCCATTTATTTGCATTGTTGATGATGAAGTTGAGTAGCTGTGATGAAAATGGTACGATTCACAAAGTAAAACATTCTTGCTATGTGAAGTGAAGTGAAGTGAAAGTTGCTCAGTCATGTCTGACTCTTTGCAACCCCATGGGATATACAGTCTATGGAATTCTCCAGGCCAGAATACTGGAGTGGGTAGCCTTTCCCTTCTCCAGGGGATCATCCCAACCCAGGGATAGAACCCAGATCTCCTGCATTGCAGGCAGATTGTTTACCATCTGAGATACAAGGGAAGCCACTTGCTATATGGCACTTTACAAAAACAAAGTTTGCTGGCCCTTGATCTAAAGTGTAGGAAAAAAAATAAGATCTCAAATTACTAAATTTAGAACTTTTAAGGAAGTTTGAAGCAAGAGAAGATATGTAAATTAGATAACCAAAAAATAAATATATATTTTAATTTTTAACATGGTTTATGATGTTACCCAATTTTAAAATCTTTTCCAGTACCATCAGGGCTCAGGAAAGAAAGCACACTCCACAAAAACTTAGTAATAAACTCTAAACTGTCTGAGTGATAAATAGGCTAACTTTACTTAGAAATTAAAGGCAAAGATTCAATATTGAACTTGAGTCAGATATGTATGTATAAAACATCTAATCTTGAATTATATATCATAATTGAAGTCCAAACTAAGGTCATATCTGATATAATTAGTGTCTTTGAGGTGTACTGGACATCCCAAGAGTTCAGGAGAAACATACCAGGCACTTGAGACAAAAATCAGAAACCAAAGTAGAATCATGGGAAGTCCACATTTTTTGTTGATTGCTTTGTGCATACCAACAAATATTTATTGAGCCATTGTGATGTGCAAATGACCTTACCAAGTACTATGAGGGCTAAAAATATTCTTGTCTTGAAGGAATTTATCATCTTTGGGGGAAATAATACATGTGCACATCCATAATTATATCACAATTCTGAATCTGGTGACTTTTGTAGGACAGGTTCGATCCCTGGTCCAGGAGATAATATCCCACAGACTGTAGGGTGGGGCCAAAAAACAAAACGGTCTTACACTGGAAGGATGGTGGATAGAATGAAGAGAAAGTCACAGAACGAAGAGACACTATGAAGGGGAAAAAATGTAAGATTTGATAGCAAATGAGATGGGACGACCCCTGGCGGAGGAAATGGCGACCCACTCCAGTATTCTTGCCTGGAAAATTCCACGAACAGAGGAGCCTGGCGGGCTACAGTTCATAAGGCTGCAAAGAGTCCAACATCACTTAGCGACTGAGAACACACACACGCGCAACATGGGACAAAGTGAGGAAAATGAGGAATTAAACACTGATAATCAAGTTTTCTGACCTAAGTGACAGGGAACATCATAGTGCTACTAACAGAAATAGGAAATTCAGGAGAAGGAAATGGTTTGAGGGAAATACACCTTAGAAAGTCTTATTAGCAGATTGAATTGTTGCAGGAGGCATCCAGGTGGAATATTTAAATAGGCAGATGGAAATGTGGGAGTTCAAAAGAAAGCTCAGGGCTGATAACTCAATATGAAAATCATTCATGGGCTCATATCAGTTCTCAAGAAAACTTTACCCATAGAAAATGGAATATAAGCATTTGTATATAGTTATAAATACAATCTCACTTGGGTATCACCTCACACTGGTCAGAATGGCCATCATCAAGAAGTCTACAAATAATAAATGCTGGAGAGGGTGTGGAGAAAAGAAAACCCTCCTACACTGTTGGTGGGAATGTGAATTGGTGTAGCCACTGTGGAGAACAGGATAGAGGTTTCTTAAAAAACGAAAAACAGAGTTAGCATATGATCCAGCGATCCTATTTCTGGGCATATAACCCAGAGAAAACCATAATTCAAAAAGATACATTCAATGTTCATAGCAGCACTATTTGCAATAAACATAACAGGCAAGGAATCTAAATGTCCACTGACAGATGAATGGATAAAGAACATGTTGTGTGTGTGTGTGTATATATACATATATATATATACAATCAATGTCTGAATATTACTCAGCCATTAAAAAAATGAAATAATACCATTTGCAGCAACATAGATGGAACTAGAGATGATTACACTAAGTGAAGTCAGTCAGACAGATAAAGACAAATATTGTATGAAATCACTTACATGTGGAATCTAAAAAAAAATGATACAAATGCACTTACTTATAAAACAGAAATATGCTTACAGACATAGAAAACAAATTTATGGTTACCAAAGAGGAAAACGAGGGGTGGGGGATAAATTAGGAGTTTGGGATTAATAGATACACACTGCATACAAAATTGGAGAAGGAATTGGTAACCCACTCCAGTACTCTTGCCTGGAAAAATCCCATGGACAGAGGAAGCTGGTGGACTACAGTCCATGGGTCACAGAGTCGGACACGACTAAGCACACACCACCGCCACATACAAAATAGATAAACAACAAGGACTTATTGTATATCACAGGGAACTCTATTCAATATCTTGTAGTAACTGATAATGGAAAAGAATATATAAAATTATACATATATATGCATAACTGAATCACTTTGTTGTACATCTGAAACTAATACAACCTTGTAAATCCACTATACTTCAATTAAAAAATATAGTCTCACTTGAAAAACACACAGGAAAATAGAAATAAGCACTCATTTATTCAACAAATATTTATTGCACACCTTCTATGTAGTAGACAGCCAAGCTCTGGAAACTCAACAATGAGTAAAGGACACAGCCTCAGCCCTCATAAAACTCACTCTCAGCAAAGTTTTAGAAATAATATTAAATTTTAGCAAAGATCACCCTGATTCTTCAGGGTTTCTTAGTACTTATTTCATGGTCAATTGTCTTTTAGTCTTTTTGCCATGACTCTTACAAGCAACTAATCTATATTATTAACTTATTTAAAGGCTCTTCTAATTCAGTTTATTTTTCTTTCAGGATACATACAGTGGTTTGATGGGTCCTCTGATTACATGCAGGGAAGGAGTGTTGAATGAAAAGGGAAGAAGAAGTGACGTTGATTATGAATTTGCTCTCTTGTTTTTGGTATTTAATGAGAATGAATCCTGGTATCTGGATGACAATATTAAGAAGTATCTTAATAAAGATCCACGAGATTTTAAGCCCTCTGATGATTTTGAGGAGAGCAACAAAATGCATGGTATATCAGAGGTTTAAAAAGGAGACCCTTATTGAGATAAGTCCATAGAAATCTGTGGAAGGTCCCAGCCTCCTTCTCTGAGCCCTTCTCCATTCCCAAGGGCACCTTGACTGAAGAAAGTCCTCCAAAGCTTTCCTTCAGAGGGAACCAGCCAAGCCACTGACTGGCTGCCGGCAAGGTCCATTAAGGTTCCGGACCATTTGTCTAGGCAGCTGTGTCTCTGAATGCTAGGATCTCTAAACTATAAGACTGTAAAGTAATTCTTAGGAAATGAATGATTACTTATTGGTATATTTCTATAAGAATACAGGATAACCTGTACTTGATCAAATTTAAGGGCCTGGTTTAACTGTCTCCGGAACATGAAACACTCACCAAATTTCTGTTTTAATGTGTCTGTTATTTAATTCTTTGAAATTTAAGGTACTTCTTGTTTTTTAAGTGGAAGTAATGTGTTCTAATTGACATATTTATACTCTCTCACCAAGATCTACTTTTGACCAACAGTGTGCAAAAAGATAGGTCCTGCCCAAGATAAGAAAGCTAGTTAATTGCTAACATTGATTAGAATATAGCAACCTGATTTCTGATTCAGCTACTCTCTCCCCTATAATTTTGCCTCCCTCTATGCAGTTTCTTAGGGTCTCTCTTTTTAATGAATGTAACTCATTTGGTTGTGTCATGATGCACAGAATAAAAAGCTAAGAGAAAACAGAGGAGTGAAAGTCCCTATCATGTCAGCCTAGATTGAGCTTGCTTTGTCATTGTTAGATCATGGGCTCAGGCCTGTGGGAAACTTTCTTTCTCTTGGAACCTTTCCTTCTCTTGGAGATTTAGCCAAGTTTAGCAACTTGCCCCAAGCTAGTTCTCAGAAAATGAAATATTAATTGAACCTTTTAAATGGTTCAATTTTGATTTACATAAACTTGATTCTCCATGCCTGTGCTCGCTCAGCTGTAGAATGGTGTAAATCTGGTGACCCCACACACGAGTCTGTAATCCACTCCATAAAAAGAATATTTCAACCAACCAAGCAACCAACCAACATGTACTGCTACCCGAGAGACAGCTTTTAAAAACAAACTGCTATTTCTATTTTCTGGCTCTCTTTTATAAAGATTTCTTACTAATCTGAATTCTGGGTCTAAAATGGTGGGGCCATTGGTAAGTGTGAGTGGGATGGTTACATGTTTATCAGGCAAATGAAAATGTTGGTGACATAAAGATCTTCTTGAATTGTTTCTAAACCCAGATTAAGTAATCATCACTAATGAGAGGCTGTTTTCTTTTACCTTCTTAGCTATTAATGGGAAGATTTTTGGGAACCTTCATGGACTCGTCATGAATGAAGATACAATGACCAACTGGTACCTGTTAGGAGTAGGAGATGAAGTGGACATACACACCATTCATTATCATGCTGAGAGCTTTCTTTTCAAGGTACGTGTAAGAGAAATGCTTTGGGGAAGACATTGAATTAACAGACTCAATATATTTCCATTGTGAAATTTGAGTTATTTGACAATAAGTCTTTCACAAACCACAAGGGGTAGTAGTGAATGCTAGAAAATGGAACAGAGAAATATGATTATGTCCTTCCCCTGACAAATATTTCTTAATATGTATTTTATTGTGCTTTTTTAAAAACACACACACACACACATTCTGAGCTTCAGATGAGAGTTTTCTTATCAGTTATACAGGGATAATTCCAACCACTCTGGAGTATACCACCAATATTGCAAATGAAGGCATCCACAGTATTTCGTCCCTTTTTCTTTTTTTTCTTTTCTTTTTCTTTCCCTTTCCCTCTCCTGTTTCTTTTCTACGTGCTTAGCCAACAGACTAGCTCTCTCTAGTAAATGAGATATTTCAAGCTTTGTCTTGGGTCCGAAATGTTACCTTGACTTTTGCCCTAGTGGACTGGGCTCTACCACGTGTGGCTTCCTGCCTTTCAAGCATCAAGTTGTACCATCTGAGTGGTGAATCACCTGTGGAGCGGTTTAAGAAATAGATTGCCAGGCTCCGCTCCAGACCTGATGAATCAGAATCCCTGGGATAAGATCCAAATGTCTGTCATCTCAGGTGCTGTGCAGTCTACAAGGAAGTAGATAGAAATGAATAATCATGTCTAATCTGCAAGGAAAACCTGCACTGCCCCTTTTCCAGTTACACAGAAATAAATAGTAACTAATGAAACATCTAATATCCTTTCCCCTCGGTATATTTATTCAACACAGTTTAAGATAGAAAGTACTAACCTAACAACGATTATATTAAGTTTCATATATTAAATTAAATTTCATATATTAAATGCCTATGATGCTTTTCAGAATTTGGCTGTTTTGATCCACATTTAAAAAATTATATTAAAATATATAGAATTTATAAAAACAAAATTATTTTATATACATATAAAATTATTGTATACATAAAAATTTCAAAATAAGGTATAATTTACACTGAGTAGAATGCACCCTGGGGCTTCCCTGGTGCCTCAGCAGTAAAGAACCCAGCTGCCAACACAGGTGACATGGGTTTGATCCCTGGGTTGGGAAGATATCCTGGAGAAAGAAATGGTAACCCTCTCCAATATTCTTGCCTGGGAAATCCCATGGACAGAGGAGCCTGGCTGACTACAATCCATGGGGTTGCAAAGAGTTGAACACAACTTAGCGACTAAATGACAACAACAAAATTCACCTGGTTTAGTACACACTTCTGTTGTCATAAGCACATACAGTGGTGTAACCAACCCTAATCAAAATATAAAACACCTCCATCAACCCCGAAAATGTCCCCTTTGCACCTTCTAGAGTCGACTCCTTTCCCGTGTTTAACCCCTGGCAACCACTGATCTGTTTTTTTCTCTATAGTTTTGCCTTTTCTGAAGTGTCTTATAAATGGAATCATAGTCTATAGCATTATTAATCTGGCTTGTTTCATTTTGTATCGGCATTTAAAGTGCATCCACCATGTTGTATACGCAGTTTGTTCCATCCTGTTGTTGAACAGTATTCCATTGTATGAATGTATTGCAGTTTGTTTATTTGTTCCCCTATTGAGGGACACTTGGGTTGTTTCCAGTTTGGTGTTATTAAAAATAAAGTCATTATAAACATTTGTGAACATGTTTTCATGTGAACATGTTTTCATGTGAACATAAGTTTTTCCTTTCCCTTGAGAAAATACCTAAGGGGTAGATTGCTAGTTGTTGTTAAGTTGCTATGTTGCATTTGACTCTTTGCAACCCTGTGGACTGTAGCCTGCAAGACTCCTCTGTCCATGGAATTCTCCAGGCAAGAATACTTGAGTGGGTTGCCATTTCTTTCTCCAGGGGAGCTTCCTGACCCAGGGATCGAACTCATGTCTCCTGCACTGGCAGGTGGATTCTTTACCACTTAGCCACCAGGCCAGGTTGTACATATATGATTAACTTCAAGAAAACTTCCAAACTGTGTTCCAGAAGACAGTATACTTTTCTCTCCTACCAGACACGTATGAGGGTACCACTTTTCCACATCCACATCAACACTTGCTATCTTTCATTCTTATTTTTTCTTAGCCATCCACTTAAGCATTGGGTTGACCACAAAGTTCGTTCACATTTTTCAATACTATCTTATGAAACCTGAATGAACTTTTTGGCCAACCCAATATATATATTGGTATCTCATCATTTTTCATTTGCATTTTCCTAAAGGCTAATGATATTGAATATCTTTTCATATGCTTTTCTATCGTCTGCCATCTGTAAATCTCCAAAGTTGTAGAATTCATGGATAGTTGCTCATAACATTCCTTTACTATCCTTTTTAATGTTTATAAAGTCTTAGTGATAGACTTCTTTTCATCTCTGATATTTGTAATCTGTGTGTTTTTTTTTCTCTCTGTCAGTTTGTCTAGAGTTTTGCTGCATAACAAATTCACCCTAAAATATAGTGCCCTAAAGCAACACACACTTATTATCTCACAATCTCTCTGGGTTAGGCTGGAAAGAGTTTAGTTCATTGATTCTAATTCAGCATCTCTTGTGAGGGTACAGTCAAGATGTCAGCTGGAGCTACAGTCATCAGGTTTGGCAGCAGCTGGAGGATCCATTTCCAAACTCACTCACAGGACTATGGGCCAGAGGCTTCAGTTCTTTATCATGACATGGGAGCTGGCTTCCCTAGGGTGAGCGATCCAGTGGGAGAGAGATAGAAAGGGAAGCAGAATGCCATTTGTTTCTGCCATATGCTGGTGGCTTCAAGGATCAGCCGTCAGACAGTAGTGTGAGAGGGGACTACCAAGGTAATGAGTACCAGGAGACAGGGGTCACTGGGGACCATCAGAGGTCGGTTTCTATACAGTTCATCAATTTTACAGATTGGTTCAAAGAACCAGCTTTTCGATTCTTTATCTTTATTATGTTTCTATTTTTCATTTAACTGATTTCTGGTCTTATCTTTATTATTTGCTTCTACCTGCAGATAGGTAAATCTTATCGAGAAGATGTATATGACCTCTTTCCAGGGACATTTCAAGCCATTGAACTGTTTGCAGATCACCCAGGGACGTGGTTGTTACATTGTCATGTGTCTGACCATATTCATGCTGGCATGGAGACAACCTACACAGTCCTTCGAAACATAGGTACTGTTTTCTGTCTGTGATGCCAGCTGATAGTACCAGGCTTCCTGCAGACCTTGAAAACAGGAAGCATGAGAGCCTCCAAGGATCTCAGTCAAGTAAGAGAGACAGACATGTAACCGTAGTGGACTATGATACATGCCAAGATAAAGTGCAGGGTACAGGGTTCAGTGACAGCAGTAGGGAGCAATGATTAACAGGCTGGGGGACATGAACACAGGTTTCATGGGTGGATATCTTAACAGGTGAGCAGAAACTGCAGGGTGGATGGGGTAAGAACAGCATGTATACTGGCATGAAATAGGCACAGTGACTATCCAACAAAGACTTACAGAGACTGATAGGATCAAGTCTTTGTAGGTGAAATGACTGAACTCTGGAACAACTCATGTGGTGGAAAGAATCTGCTTCTGTTGTTTATAAACCATCACATTGTCTTCTTTGTCCAGACAACAGGATTCCATACTCCGCCAAGTCCCCTTCCGGAGGTGCATCCGGATCTGCGCCCTCTAACGGTAACCATGTCCGCCCGACCCTGTAGTCAGTGGTCTGGATTCAGGCCCTGGGGAAAGTGGCCTGACCGCTCGCGTTTCTTTTGCACAGAACGCGGCGAGGAGCAGCTCTACTTCTTTGGCCGGAGTCTGGATCCCAGAGGAGCCCGAGCAGCCTTGGTCGTCCTCTTCGTCCTCGGCCTCCTTCTGCTGGTCCTATCGGTGGTCCTGTCGCTCAGGCTATGCTCCGCGAGGCCGCGGGCGGCGTACCAGGAGGTCCAGTCCTGCGCGCTCCCCACCGACGCCCTGTGACCCCCGCGTCCTCGGCAGGGAGGCGGAACAGGGCACCGCTCCCCGAGGACCCTGCCGCCGCTGCCCGGGTCAGGCTCCGATCCTCCGGAACAGATTCAAAGCAATGTGCTTTTCTTTATTTATTTTTAAAGGGGCTGTGAATAATCCTCAGGTGTAAAATAGAAAAAGAAGAGTGGGCATGACTGAGAAAGCAGATCCAGCCTGTTCTCTGAATGAGCTCGTCGAAGTGCGAAGACCCTCTGAAAGATACATTTGTTTTCCATCTTTCATAATTCCTAGATTAGACAGTGCTTCCTTACCATCGAAGTCTCTATAGATGGCCAGTTTCAGGAAAGAGTTACACTGCCTCAGACATCTAACTGGAATGGCACTGATTTTTTCATCTCTGTTATGGAAGATGCTTCCCTTAGTGGTTCCAGGAAAAATAACTTTCTGGGGTGCCCCTGAAAATGTCTAAATCAGTATTTACTGATAAAATTTGACCAAATGACTTTTTTGGAGGCTTTAGCCAGCTCCCCTGGCCTTCTCCCTTTTAATATAAATAGCCTGTGCACTGTTTGCTATACAAGAAGCAAAGTTACATGCATTTTTAAATAATATTGTTTTTATGCAAACCTGTAGAGATACTTGAATGTTTACATTGAGTTGAATGTTTACAACTCACTTCATTTATACATTTTTTACAATATGTTTCTGTGGCAATGTTTGTATTTTCAAAAATCAATCAGAGAATTTGTATTTCAGAATGTGGAGGGCTGGAATCTGCAATAGCAGGCTAGGTTCTCCCACTGTGAGTCAAGACACTCCCTGAGAGTTTAGTGGGAGCTTCCAAGGGGAGGGAAACTTGGCAGGAGGGAAACTTTGCAGGAAGCAAGCCTGGCCTTGACTCTTGAGTCTGATTTTTCACTGTTAGGAGGAGCTTTCCCAGGCTCCATCTTTTATGAAATAAAGACAGTGTCATCATGTGAAAAACACCAGAAGGAATTCATCAATGCAGCTGACTGACTGGGAGGAGAAAGACGTAGTCTTTGATGGGAAGAGGAAAGAAAAGGCTAATTAAAGAGAGTCCCAGTAGCAAATTTTTAAACCAATAAATCAACTTTGAGATATAGTTTTACAATTTTCAAGTCTCAAATGCCAAATAAAATATTGAACAACTAAACCCATCAAGAGGCAATCCATACTCTCTATATGTATGCCTCAGCTCTAGGTATAAGATTGATAAGAGCAACATTGTTTATTACTAGACTGAGAAATTGCCCTTAGCCCACGCTGCTGCGAGATGGGGGCTATTAGTACATCTGCCTTAGCAGTGGGTCACGGGGCTGTTCAAGTGAACAAGTAGGACCTAATAAATACTGGTGGAGGGACCTTTCATACTGTCTCATCTTCATCTTGGTGAGGGGAAATGAGTAATTTGATAGAAGCTATAGTCTTACATAAAACAGGATGCAAATGCTAATAGTTCTGTTCATAGTTTGCTTGAATGTCATATCAAACATGATACCCAAGGATCTGAATTCCAGACTGCTAACCACTGATAATGTGATTTTTAGTATGTGCTTACAGTTTTCAGACATGTATAGGCTATATAATTTCATAATAATAATCATGATAAATGCCTTATTTATAACTGACCTAGAAAACAAATTATTTAGTTGTCTTTTTCTTTTCTCTTAGTTTATTTTTTTAATGAAAATGAAACCACAAAGTAGTTTGATTATACCATTTCTCTTTTTAATAAAGTTTCATGTATCATAAACATAGCTATTTACATTTTTTTTTCAGCACCGTAACTGAGGTCTAGTAATAGGTAAATTTTTTACCTGGAGCAGGTGGTTAGTTAAAGGAGAATTATTTTTTAGCTATTTAGCAACTATCCTAGTTATACTCATTAGAGGAAGTAAAACAAAGTGACAATATATGTATACAGATAAGGTTGTTGGTGTTTAGTTGCTAGGTTGTGTCTGATTCCTTTACAACTGCATGGAATGTAGCTGCCAGCATCCTCTGTCCATGGAATTTCAAGCAAAAATGCTGGAGTGGGTTGCTACTTCCTACTGCAAGGGATCTTCCCAACCCAGGGATTAAACTCATTTCTCCTGCACTGACAGGCAGAATCTGTACCGTTGAGCCACCTAGGAAGCCCACAGATAACACGACTCTCACCAAGTATTGTTTTCTCTGAGGTACCACACATCTTCATGCTCATCCCCACTCTCCTGAGAAAATCAATCACATTTATACACATCTTTTCCTCTTGTTACAACAGAAGATGGGCACCTGCTCCTGGCAGGGCCGGTCTCTCCCTGGACTCTGGAAACTGCATCCCTTCTTGCTTTCTCAAGAACTTAATTCCCTCAGTTATCAGTTTTCCCTCCTGCATGAAGTTATCAGCAATATCTTCCATTAAAAGCAGACAGCAAACAAACAGTCACTGTCTTTAACTCCATAACCTGCTTCAACACAGGTCCTCTGTTCCCTTGATAGCAGAACTGAAAGTGCTGTCCACACTTGTCTCTGTCTCCTCACCCGATGCATGCTTCCACCCGTTCCAATGGTTTCCCTTCCAGAGGGCCCTGCCCAACTCTGCACCCCAGTCTGCTGTTATCAAAACCATCATGACTATAATAATGATAATGGAAATGATTCCACAGTCTGTGGCCTCTTCCCAGTCTTTATCTTACTTAACCTCTCAGTAACACTTGGCAGCTCCTTCCTTCTGGATACCCTCTAGTTCCCTGGCTCCATAACATCGCCTGCCAACCTTCCTTCTTCCTCAGCAGCTATTTCCTTTTAGTCTCTTGCGAGTTCCTTCTCCTCCCTCTGACTTAGATCTTAGCGTGCCTCCTGACTTGAACTGGGCCCTTTTCTTCGTTTGGCCCTCCAGGGTGGGCTGAATAGTATCGCCAAAGATTCCAGGTCCCACTCCCTGAACCTGTGAATGTTATCGTGTACAGCAAAAAGACTTTGCAGTTATGATTGTTAACAAATCTTGAGATGGGAAGTTTATGTTGGATTACCCAGATTGGCCCTAAATGTAACCGCAGTGTTCTTATGGGGCTTCCCACGTGGCACAGTGGTAAAGAATCTGCCTGCTGATGCAAGAGACATGGGTTTGACCCCTGGGATCAGGAAGATCCCCTGAAAAAGGAAATGTGGCAACCCACTCCAGTATTCTTGCCTGGGAAATCCCAGAGGAGCCTGATGGGCTACAGTCTATGGGGTTGGGAAGAGTTGGACACAAAAGAGTGACTGAATATGCATGCAAGCACGGTGTTTTTACAAAAAAAAGACAAGGGAGCTATGGGACACATGAAGGAAGGTGCTAGGCTGCAGGCTTTGGACATGCAGGAATGCTTTCTCAAGGCTGGAAAAGGCAAAGGACCAGATTCTCTCCTCGAGCCTCTGGAGACCTGCTGGCACCTTGACTTTTTGCAGTGAAACTGATTTTGAACTTCAGATTTCCAGAACTGTTAAAAAATAAATGTGAGACTTTCCTGGTAGTCCGGTGGTTAAGAATCCGCCTTCTAATGCAGGGGACTCAGGTTCGATCCCCGACTGGGGAACTAAGATCCTACATGCTGAGGGGTAACTAAGCCTGAAACATGCAACTAGAGAAGCCTGCTGAGCTGCCGTGAGGACCCCGTGCAGATAAAGAGATAAAAGATAATCGTGTGCCGCCAAGTCAGCGGTAGTTTGTTATACCCCCTCCATAGGTTATTTCACTCATCTTCCTGGATCTGAAAATCATCTTTATGCTAATAAACTCAAAATGTATTTCTTCCTGGGCTACAGACTCCAAACCCTGCTCAAGCAGATCACGGTGGCAGTCCCTACCCAGCCTCTCCAGGTCACTTCTGTCTCTCTAACCACAGTCCACACAGTCCTCCAAATCCGATCACATCACTTAACCTGGTAAATTTCCTTTACTGTCTTTTGGTTTCACATTTAATAATATCCAAACTCCTTACCTCCATCTATAAAACCCAGACTGATTTGGCTGCCCATTATGTCCACACCTCCAGCTTTACCTCTGACTCCTCTGTTTCAGCTTTTATCAGTTCCTTCTTGCCTCAGGACCTTTGCACACACTGCTTTCTGTGCCTGGAAGGCTCTTTCCAGCACCCTCACCCTCTTTCCTAGTTAAGATGTAAGTTCCCCAGACTGCCCTCTCTAAAGTGGACCACTCCCAAGTTATTTCCAATTTCCATTATTTTCTTTAGTTGCCCTAATCCTGGGACATATCCATCTTACCTGTTAGTTTGACTTTTGTCTTTCTCCTTGAAATCTAGACTCCATGGAAATAAGGACCTCAAACTTGTTTTGCTCACTGCTACACCCCAGCACAGACCACAGTGCAGATACACAATAGTTGCTCAGCAAACATTACTTAGATGAATAAATAAATATATAAACAGAACAGGCCGTGTAGTGGGCTTAACTCTCTTGACTTTGACTATTTTGGTCACAAAAGATTTCATATCCAAATGTCAAGGGTCTCTAATAAACAAAACAAGAGTTTTGGGACCATAACTATGAGGCCTGCAGCTGCTTTGGCTTCCTTCTAACAAATCACACTGGAGTAAGGAGAGGGGGAAGGAAGGATTTAGAGGAGGGTGTGTTATTTAATCCCTAAATGCACCTTATAGCTATAAAGGGGGAGAGAAGCCCTAAATCAGTGGACAGTTAAACACATACTTGTTGAACTGTAATTGTGATTTTCATTAAGAAGGAAAAATAGAGGGGAACAGTAATGGATAACATGTATACAGCACTCATCAGTCGCCAGGCAACGTCCTAGGCACCTTATGTATATTAACTCTTTCGATCTTTACCTCAATCCTAAGCAGTATAATCACCTTACAGATGAAAACACTGAGATACAGACGGGGCATGTAACTTTCCCAAAGTCCGCATCTGGCATCACAAGAATATTTAACAAAGGGGCCTAATCCTGTTTAGTGTTTCCAAGGAAGACTCTCCAGGGGAAGTAACATCCAGCAGAACAAGCCAGGCAAAAAGGCAAAAAGGCAAAAAGTGGATGTGATTTGGGGCAGGTGAAGGTCTGGAGGAGGCAAGAGCTGGCTAAGTTGAAGAACTGAAGGGAAAGTAGTGAAACTGGGAAGGCAGGCAGTAGCCATGCTAAACAATTTGAATTTTATCCTAAAAATAAGGTACACTTTAAGAAGGGGAGTGATAGGATAAGACTGGAGCTTTTACAAATTCCCTACGGCAGCTGCTGGGGAGAAGGGCTTGCAGGCCTGCAGGGCCTACCTGTACGTGGTTAGGAGACAGGATGGCTGCTCAGGTGGAGGAAAATGATCAGATGTTCAATATTTAGGAGCGAGAAGCTAGAGAATTTGGAAATTGGTTCAGGCAGCTGGGAGAGACGGCTCTGTCACACAGGGCAGTGCAGCTGTCTGGTTTGGGCGCGTGGTCGGGTGGCGCTGCTTTGAGCAAGATGGGGAAGACTGGAGTTCAGGCTGAGAGGAGACGAGGGTTGTGGTTCTGGCCATTGTGCAGTCCTGGTCCCATGAGTCTCCTAAGCGGAGGGTCGTGCAGGCCACGGGGCGAGGGCTCCGAGGGCAGGGCGGGGTGGAGATGTACACAGGGCAGGTGAGCGCACACAGAAGAGGCTTGCCTGCACGGACCTGCCCGTGTACAAAGAGCAGAGCCGGCAGCCCCGGCCCAAGGAGCCCTCCTGTTCAAAAGTCCTGCCAGCTCCAAGTGTTGCTGATCACAGCGTCTCTTGACTGTCTCTCAGCATCCCAGACCGAGGCTCCCGCGGCAAAGCGAGAGGCGAAGCACAGACCCGTGAGACCGAGTCAGGCGCAGGCTCACCACCCCCAAGCCCGCGCCTCCCTGGCCCCCAGTGTTCCTGCTAGAGTCCAGCGCCTCCTCTCCCACGTTTGCTCGGTCTAACCCGCTCGATCGCCTTTTAAGGCGCCCGTTGCTCTCTGAGGCCTTTGCACCGCCTGCTGACCTGATCTCGCCATGTAGAAATACTAGGGGTGAGGCGTAAGGGGCCGTCCGGTCCACAGGGCGACAGGTCACTTTGGGAAAGGACTTCAAACTTCCCGGCGCCCGGAAGAGGAGGGGATGAGGGTGGGAGGGGCGCGAGGACTCGCCGAGGAGCTGTTCGCACCGACACCCCCTTCGGGGGTGGATCCCAGGGTTGCCGGCGCTGCCGCGCCCACCGCGCCCCGCGCCCGGCGGCTCCCGGAAACGCCGCGCCCCCTCGGCGCTCGCGCTCCTCTGAGGTTCCGGGAGAGCGTGCGGGGCGGGCAGAGAGCGCGCGGGGCGGCGGCAGCCGCAGCCGGGGCCTCACCACAGGGTTCGCGCTTTGTTCGGCTACAGACTCTTGCTCTCGGGCGCGCGGCGGCGGCGCGGAGCCCGGGGACCTGCCGGAGTGGCTGCGCCCCGGCCGGCGGAGGAGGAGAGGGCGCGACCCGGGCTCCCATGCCCGCGGAGTAGCCCTGCGACCCGCCAGGCCAGGCGCCCGAAGAAAACGGCTGCGGCGCATCGCGGTACAAGACCGGCGGAATGTGGGAGCCTCCGGGGGGGCCGGCAAAGGGAAAGCGAAACCCGCGGGCGGGGCTGGTGACGGGCTAAGGCGCAGCACCGCCCTCCCGACGCCGGCGGTCCCCAGGCCTGCCTCCCGAACCTGCCCGGCACAGCCCAGCGCGCCGCAGCCATGGCCATCGCGCACCTTGCCACCGAGTATGTCTTCTCGGACTTCCTGCTGAAGGAGCCCTCGGA